CCCCCCCCCACTGCCCCCCCCCCTCGCTTGCGACCAGGCAGCCCTCCGTGATGTGCTGCCTGGGACCCAGCAGGTGCCGAGATGCCGCCTCCGCCTGGGGGGGGGGGGCTCAAAGGGGGGGCAGACCTGATTCCTGCCCTCCAGGACTCTCCCCTGGCCGGCTGGTCCTTCCCAATGCTTGCCCAGAGCATCTGGCAAATAACATCTGGATTTGCCCACCCCTAGGATAGGATAGGATAAAGAATAGGATAAAGCATGGAATTGAATGGAATAGAATTGCCAGAGAACAGGGAAGGGAAGGGAAGGGAAGGGAAGAGAAGAGAAGAGAAGAGAAGAGAGATTTTTTTGGTCACTTTGAATGTACACTAATCAGGATACATTAAAATGAAATTTCATTGCATGCAGCTCTCAAAGGGTCACCTCTCCAATATACACTACATAAAGATGACAGAATAAACACAAAATGATGCACATACCCACCTATATATTCTATGACACAGAAACAACACAGTGTAATCCGGATGTTATACATTGTACATGGCGAGCAAAACGAATCTTGCAAGTTTACCAGACGGATGGCGCAAGGAACAAAATCCCTGTTACAGAATCTGGCGTCTTTCTCTGCCGTTTCTGCCGCCCACAGCACCCAAAACCTGTGCCTGGATCAGTTTGTGCCACGTGCATGGAATATTAGCACAGTCTTGTAGATAACCCAGTTTGTTTGTTTTGTTTCGTATAGTGATCAATTGAGCACCTAAAAGCCATGCATTTTTTTTTCAGTTTTACCCTCAAATAACAAGGAGGAATAAGTTCTAATGGTTGGTTATCTCTTATTGATGCTCCCACAGAAAAAAAAGTAGCATGAATTGTTCCGCTGAAGGTGGACGTAGCTGTCCCTGCAAATAACTCCATCCGATGTGAGAAGCAAGACTGAAGTACCATGGTAGCTCAGTACTTGTCGGGCGATGTACTTGTCGCCCATGGCCTTTCATTTTATCATCATACATTTCCCCCCTGACTTTGGGTCCCTTTCCCCTTGCTGTTTCCATTCTCTGCCAGCCAACATCTTGCTGAGCAAGTGGCAGTAATCTCCAATCTCCTCTTTCTCTTTGTGCTTCTAAGTTGTATAACACATGTCCATCTTCTCAGGCCAGTTCTAAGTAAATCTATTCTCTGTTTAGAAGCAGCTCTTCCAGCATTTGTAGAAACAATGAATAAATCTGCTAAGCGTGCCTTACATTTCGGGAGATTTCTTGCAAAAAAAAACTGCAAGCTTCAACAACTTCAATTTATACTTTAATTTTATAATTTTTTTGTTTTCTCTTTTTAAATATTTCTTTTTCTTAGACATATTTCTTAAATCTTTAATATTTACAGTAGAAAAACAATCTTTGGTAAAAGAAAAAAAAGAAATATATAATTGATATAAGTAATGTAAAATTATAAATTACTGTTTAATTTTATATTTAAAATTATTTAAAAGAAGAAAGAGAAAATAATGGAGCAAGTAAAAATGCAAAGTTGCAGAACACCGAAATTTCTTCTGTAAAACAGTTTGAGCAAGAAAATTTTAAATTTTAATCTGGAAATGAAATATAAAAGCCATGAACTGTAAAATGCCATTAAAAAGACACTAAAATAAGTAATTACTTGATAAAATCACAGTCATGCCTAATGACAGCAAAGCAGAACAAAAGGAAAAGCCAAAATCTCTGAATGTCTCAGTATAAAAGAGTAAATTAAAAGGAAGGAAAACGATCGCAGCCCCTCCCCCAACCACAACCCCCCCCCCCGTCCCCCGTCCCTTTTAAGGATCGCCTGTATAGAAGCTCAACTTGGGTAAGGGGATTATTCTGGGCTTGCAGTTGTTATCTGAACATTCATCCTCACATTTGCTGTGATGAGAAACATATTTTGGCTGTCCAGCATGGGGGGAAGTGGGGAATAGATTTATACAAGTAGAAATTCAAAAATTGCCAGAGGAATGACAATGCGAATTAAGGAATCCTCCAAATTTACAGCTGAGCAATCAAAGTTGGATGTTTGGGGTGATTGATAATGGAGAGAGTTGGATGACTCAAATCAATTTTTATGTGGTCAAACTAGTCTGACCTTTTATGTAAGTGTTTCGCAAATCTTTTTGATTTACAGGGGCCAAATTATTGCAGTTTGGAATTTTAATTTAGTTTTAGCTCTCTCCTCTAACTTTTGGATGCCAAAGTTCTCAACTAAGTTGGTCAGGAACCTATTCGATCTCCCATTTGATGCAGAGTTTGTCTCCCAGTTGATGTCAGGGTAGATAAAGTCCCCCATTACTACTGTGGTCTGTTTCCTTGTTAACCGACCAGCAAAAAGTTCATCTATTTCCTCTGCTTGATTGGGTGGCTTGCAGGTAGTCCTTGACTTACAGCAGTTCATTTAGTGAATGTTTGAAGTTGTGATTCCTGCCACCCCTCGGGGCCCCTCCGGTCCTCACCACAAACGCCCCAACCCCATTGGCTGGGGCAGAGAAGGGGGTGGCCGGTGCCTGTCCTGTCCCAAGCCCTGCTCCCACGGTCAGTGACTTCCCTGATGCTGTTCTCCACATCTCCATCCCTATGAAACTCTCCTGCCGCTGCTCTACCAAAGGACCGCAGCTTGTGGTCAGGGGCTTCCACCCTACCAGCTCTTCCCAATCTGCAGCCCTCCTTCCATTTGCTCCCCCAAGTCACTGCAACCCTCCCCCCATGGGATCAGGGGGAATTCCACTTTAGCTGCCTTCCCCACACTGTTCTCCCTTTGGGTTTTTGGGACAAGGTAGAAGGATCCTGCCATGGCTCTCTCTTCCCACACCAGCAGCAGCTGCTCTGACTTCTGGGCCCTCCGCTTGGACTACATCCCCACCGGCTGCACTCTGGAGTCCACCTGGGCCATTGCTGGTGTTTCCCAGGGAGGGCTGCTCCAGGCTTCACCGCGGCATCAACTTTCTTCTTGGTTTCTGACATGGCTACGTTAAAAGCTCTCTCAGAGGCATCTGAATAGGCTGCATTAAAAGTAGAGCTGGTTTAACGCCAATGGTCCGAGAAGCGAACCCAACAAAAGGAACTCTCTGGGTCTTTGATTTCCCCCAAAGTACATCTTTATTGAATACACCATCTTGGAACTGAAGAAGCGAAACCAGCTCTGCCTTTCCCGCGTGAAAGCTTGCTTAGTTAAACAATAGATTCGCTTTCTCCCGCCCCTCAAGTGTTCACATTGTCCAGTAGTAGAACTTCTTTTTGTTATGGGAAAAGTCCTCTATCGAGCACCTGCAGTAGTGACCTTGGCATTTTGCAGGCTCTCATGGTCCGTGAATGACATCTTGGCAACCTGCCTCCTCCCTACACATTCCACCCCCTTTTCATTGGCAAGTTGAAGAAGAAGAAGACAATAAGCGATTCACACTTGACATTCTCTTCCCCATAGAGTTGAATCTCCTATCACCAAGACTTGCCTTTTTTTCCCTCAGGAAAGTCTGGGCTACTTTTCCTCCTTTCACAGGAGCACCTGGTGAGGCCTCTTTCCAGATGCCTTCATGCTTCCTTCCAGGGGGAGGCTGTGAAGTCAGTTGCTCAGCTCCAGAGAGGCTGGGCCAGACAGCTGGGCCTTGTACTTGGTTGCTCTTTTCTTCCCATGAGTGACATGCTTCCATCGGTCTTCCTGTAAAAGCTCATATACATATAAATACACACAAAAGCTATACGAATATAAAAAAAAATCATTTTTAGCAATAAAGACTGGGATAATATAGCAACAGAGAAAAGTCAGAGTCAACAAAGAATATCACACACTGATTTTTCTATCATTTGGTAGAACTTTATCTTTCACTGACATTCCCATTATTGCACACCTATTTGCACATCTAAATTCTGGATTCATTTAATAATGCAATCTTTGCCTTACTCTTAGTTTTTCACCAGTAATTTATACAGGAGCCTTAGCAGCTTTTCTAAGTTACATACAGTATTATAAGATCTTCAAATTCAGTCAAATCTCTTTGTTCTCTTTGTTTCTGCAATTCTTTAAATACTCTGCTCCTTACATGAAGATACTAATGACCATGTGGACTGCACCTCATGTGTATGTTGGGAGAGGCAACCTCATATATGCACAAAGATGGAAATACTAATTCCCACAGTGGAAGTGTGG